GGCTAGCCTGAGACAGCATCTCCACGCCCCTCTCCCCAGATGGCAGCCTGCGGCAAGTGCAGACAGACTGATGGCCGAGTTCTGTGATGTGCCCAGTGTGGGCACTCAGGGCACTCCAAGCCAGGACTGCTTTGGAAGTGGGGCACCCCTGAGAACTGTCTGTCCGGGGTGGGGGTCGGGACCCTTTAAGCACAGCCCTCGGCTAGCCTGAGACAGCATCTCCACGCTCTAAGTCCTCCTCTGATGCCCTGCCGGCACTGCTTCCGGCCATCCTTAAGCCCGGTTCAGGGTCCACTTAATGTGGACATGCTAGTTCGAATTAGCAAAACGCTAATTCGAACTAGTTTTTTAGTCTGGATCCGTTAGTTCGAATTAGCTTAGTTCGAATTAACTAATTCGAACTAAGTTAGTTCGAATTAACGTTGTAGTGTAGACGTACCCAGTGTGTGCTGGTAAGAGAAGGTGCATGATGTGCGCATATATAAGAACATGTTCAGAAAGCTTCAAGCAGGGACTTTATTTTCCAGTGGATGGATTACTATTGAGAATGTTGAAATGTCAGTAATGATCCTTGGCACTCAGCCTATCCTTTACAAACATGGCTCATGAAACCATATACCAGCTACCTTGATAGCAGCCAGGGGCATGTCAGGCTCAGCAGGTGCAGAATGACAGTTGAATATGCATTTGGTCATGTGAGGGGTCATTGGAGGTGTCTGCTTACAAGATTATCCCTCAGTGGAAAAAATCCCAATAGTTATTGGGGATGTTAAAATATGTTTATTTAGGTAAACGTAACCGCTGAAAATTTACATGACGGGGAGGCTCCCTGGAAGCCGGTGTACAAGGAGAGATGGCTCCCCATCTATACTGACTCCCACAAAACTGCCCCTTACCCTCTCCACACTGCTGCCTTTGTATCAGAGGCAGTAGTGGGAAGGAGGGGCTGTGTGTAACTGTGAAGGCTAGCTGATGAGCCCAGGCTTATCAGTTAACCATGTGCACATTTATACTTTAACATCCCTAATGGTTATAGCTGCCAGCTGTGTGTAGCATAGTGCCCATGAAACAATGGGGAAAAGTTTACCTGAGTGTAGAAGGCAGAGGTGTTGTCTATGGCTGTCTGCTAAATTTGAACAGCCAGATACAAAATCTGTAAGAAGAGTTCAGGGATTCTTTGAAAGACTATTTTAATAGGGGCCTGAGTTGTGTGTGTTGCTATTTTGTTCTCTTTAGCAGCCCTGTATGAATGATGTACAGGCTGTCCTTGCTATAAGTCCAAGATACATTCCAAATAACTTGAACTTATAGCGAAACAACTTAAACTGGGGAATTTTTTTCCCCATGGCTGACTTTCGTTTGCACAAATTGTGGGGTTTGGGTTTTTTTTTGTGTGTGTGTGTGTGTGTGTGTCTGAAGAGCAGGGAATGGGAAGACTTACAATGTATCAGTTCCTACAAGTGTGAGTGACTTTAGTGCAGAACAGATGTATACCAGGGCAACTTATAGTGGGGATGCCCTGTAGTGAGTGCTGTATGTGTAGGAATACAACATTGCCAATATACCTATTCTATTAATATTGTCTGAGAAGGATGTGGATTCTGTGACAAAATGAAAAAACAGGCAATTACTGAGTGTCAGACCTGCTTCAGCATGAGCCAGCATATATTGTGAACCAATAAAACTGAATTGTGTTCCAGAAAACAGAATTTTACTCTTGACGTGACCCAGGCCAAAAAACCCAAATCCTAGAACTTAATAAATCAAGGGAATACAGCTTATGAAGGGACAAGAGGTTCTATTCCTGCTACTTTCTGATCCCCAAGGTAAAAGGGGTGGGGCTCAGGCTCATCCTCAACCTGTGAGTTCTCATCTGGTACCCCGCTCAGCTGAAATGCTGTATGGTTTCCCTTTCCTCAGCCTGGATCCTGGAGACTGATATGCCACCCTTGACCTTTAGGACACATACTTCCACATCTCCATTTTTCAAGGGTTCCTCCACTTTGTGGTAAAAAGGAGTATCCAAATATTTCCATTCCTAGATGACTAGCTGCTCGAGGACAACTCCAGATCCCAAGTGCAGAGTCGTGTCACTCTCCTCCTGTCCACTTGCAGTGCCCTAGCCATGCTGGTAAACAAAAAGAAGTCAATGTTAGTACCACTACATAGAATAGAGTTCATAGGAATGGTACTGAATGCCAAGACCTCCAGGGATGGGTTCCCAGGCCCTAATAGACCTCATCGTGGCTGTCTCTTGGTTCCCAGTAACAATGGCCAGAACATGTCTGCACCTCTTGGGACACAGAGGTGTGTACTTACATAATCCGACATGCCGGACTCCACATGCGCCCCCCCTGTGCAGAAGTGGCTAGTGTTAATCTCGCAGGCCAGGGATCATCTGGACAAGGTTCTCATTGTCCCAGATCCAATACTTACCATCTCTCTGGTGGTGGACAGTTCCAGGGAACGTGCTCTGTTATGCTTAAAAGAAGCTCTCGGGACCTTTTTCAAGGGTATAAGGCAACACGCCGCATTTATTGATAATATAACAAAATAACATATGCATTTACAAGCACGCACACATGCGCGCGCGCATTGATGGAATAGTTACCAGTCTGTTGCTCGGCCCGACCTATTGGTCAGGTAGGATGGGTGCGAGGAAGGAGCTGGGTCCTTGTCAGTCCGGACTGATGCTCCACTTGGTCTTAGCAGGACAGAACCAGAAGAACCATACAAGACACCCCATCTTTTATAGGATTTTCCTTCCATGCAAATCTATGCATTTTGCCTTGTCAGGCCTTAATCAGTCACTCGGCATTGCAATCAATCTTCCTACGACATACGCTTATTGGGAAGAAGTTGTTCTCAGTCACTTGATATCCATATGCTGACAACCCCTTCGGGTGTTGTCCTTCTGGCGAAAGTTATCGATTCCCTAGCACTAACTTCAGGGTTCATCAATCTGCCCTGGTAGTCTGCGTCTTCAGTGTGCTTTCACTTAGTTAATAAGTATTGGTGCTTCTGAGTCTCCAGCCCCTCCTCTGATCATTTGAGCATTCAGCGGCCTTCACACTTATCTCTCCTAAAACATTCTCTCTCTCATTCACACCAACAATACATTTACAGAATTGCAGCATGGAACAAGGGGTACTTCTAGTCATCCAACAGAGATGAAGCTAAGTTAACAAAGCTGCCTGGCCTGTCTGAAGCTTACACCTTGTGTTTAAGTTTAATCCAAACCTTTTGCTATAACATACATTCATTATAACTAGCTGACTTATTAGTTACAAAATTCCAGGGCTACAGCTCCAGAGTCCCATTTTAGATCCACCCTCCTGCAGTCAAGCTGATATTGGACACATTGGATTTTGGTTGGGGAGCCCATCTTGGGATGCCAGGACTCAAGGCAAGTGGTTGCCAGATGGGTTGGGCCTGCATATCAATGTCAAAGAACTTGGAGTAGTACGTCTTGCGTTCAAAGCCTTCTGCCCCCACCAAACTAGCAAAGTGGTCAGAGTCCTCGTGGACAATACAGCCTCCATGTTCTATCAACAGACAAGGAGGAGCCCATTCTGTGACCTTCTGACAGGAAGTCCTTGTGCTCTGGGATTTCTGTATTGTGCGCGATATCAACCTGGAGGCTTATCACCTCCCAAGAGCCCTGAACACTCTCCCATTCTGCTTGAACTTAGACTTTTCACCGCAAGTGGACATTGCATGCATGGGCAGAGGTGGGGCTGCCCCTGTTCTGCTCCAGATGTGGCCCCGGGGTGGGCTCCTTCTCAGATGCCTTTCTCTTGTTCTGGACTGGGGGAGGGGGATCTACTCAGTGCATTTACTTCAGTTTCACTCGTCAGCAAGGTCCTGCTAACTCTTGGTTTATTACATTTTCGTATTTTAATTTTTCCCTGTTGCTGTATGAAAGATGCACACAAACAGAATGGGAATCTAGCAGCCTGATTAGAAAACTATAATTTAAAGTTGTATAAGGTATTGTTAAAAATTGGTTTTACCTACTAGAGTAATTTTTAGCTGTTCCTTTAAAATGATACTTGTTAAAAATTGGTTTTACCTACTATGTTCTGCAAGAGTAATTTTTAGCTGTTCCTTTAAAATGATTTTTTTTCCAAGCACAGCCTAGTGGCTGGTTGGCATAGCGTACTAACAATCTGCCAAGTCTAAAATCTGCTACTTTAGTTTTATGTAAATTAAGTGGGGGAGGGGGAAAGCGTAGTGATATTTTTTTTCCAAGTCAAAAATATGTGCTGTTTTCCTCACTTGCATAAGCTAAGTGACTGACTGAAATGATTTACCCCAACTTCTGAGTAGGGATGTCAATATTCAGCCAATTAACACGTGGAGGTGGAGCAGCTCCCCACCTGCAGTGGACAATGGACTGCTCCAGCCTAATGGGGGTCCTCTTGTGGTCAGGAGCTGCACTGGCCAGTTTGGAGCAGCTCCTGTCTGCGATGGGCAGGGGGGCAGCTCCAGCTGGGCTGGATTAACCCGCCCCCACCCACACTCCCCTTTTATCATTTAACTACTTCAGAGACATTAGTTTTGAGGTCCATGAAGGAAAACATTCCATATAGTTACAAGCAGCAGAAAAAAGGGGACTTGCTACTTACATAAAGCGAAGGTTCCCAAACTGTGGACAGCTGTTGGTCTTCAGAGTTTTGCTGGTAGGTTCACATGGTGGTGCTTTTCCTTTCCAGTCACTAAACTGCATTAAGAGAAGCTATAATACGTTACTTTCCTAAAAGTGCTTTTACATGCAAGCAGTTGTTGCTGTTGTCATAAAGATGTTGTATAATTGTGGCTTGGAAAGGATTAGTGACCATTGGATACCCTATTGAAAAAGTTTGAGAACCCCTGAACTAATCATTTGCTACTATAGTCCCATAATGTGGCCTTTTTATCACAAGAATATTTAATTGACAATAATCTAGGAGGAGAGTGTATTGCTTCTGTCTCCATATGGGTCAGGAAGATAGCTTTGGTTTTTGCTTTCTTTTTCTTCAGTCACTGGGACTGTCCATCACAGATGAGCAAATCCAAGAGATGGAAGCAAACCTGGATAACATAGACTTCAAGATGGCAGCTGAGGAGGAGAAAAGGTTGCGTCATGACGTGATGGCTCATGTGCACACCTTTGCACACTGCTGTCCAAAAGCTGCTGCTATTATTCATCTTGGAGCCACTTCCTGCTACGTTGGCGATAACACGGTAAAACAGTACTTAGAGTTTGGTCTCCAGAAAGATGTCCCGAACCCACCAAATGCTGCACACTTGACAGCTTAAAATAAACTTATTTTTATAAATAAAATCTCCAAATCGAATTTTTGAAAGTTTTATTTAATTTTTCTTCTGGAGCTAATTCCCCTTATCCCAGTTTTACCAAAGAATGTTTTAGTCTGTGCTAGCTAGAATTCTAGTGTTTAGGAGACAACTGCATTCAACACTGCACTCTCTTTGGCATAAGCAAAATCCATCCTCAAACAACAGCACTTACTGTTCCCTACTTGTGTGTCATCTCTTGCTTTAAACGAGGAATTTCATAATCATGTGAGTTGCACAAAGAAGAAATGCATGATCTGTCGGTCATGCCAGTCGGTCACCAGTTCACTGATTTGAGAAATCAAGGCCATTTTGGATATATGCAGATCACGAGCTTTCAGTTTGCATGGATAGTCTGGTTTGCTTAAGTAAGTCAGCTCTTCAGGGATCAATAAAAAGAATAAAAATCTCATATTAAAATACCCCACATAATGTACTGCTTTCAATATTTGCGTCTGTAAAGGAATTGAGGGTTGCCTGTACATTCATTAATACAAAATAGCAATATTGCCCAGCACGTAGCAGTCTTCTTCCCTGCCCCAACCCAAACTTCTCTCAACTGCTGCTGTTCCTTTGTTTGACAAGACCTGGTAGTGCACTTTTACTCTTCTCTTTTGGCAGTCCTGCATTGTGCTTGGACTTAAGCAGCTTAGCAGCTGCTTTTCCCATGACATTTCATCTCAGCTATATTTGATTGCACCAGACACATGGGTAAAGGAAAGCTCTTACCAGGCTAGCCTTCTTTTTGAAGTGAAGTCGTAAAACAGACCTGCAGATCTGTGGCAAGTAGAGCCTTCACTCCCATATAGGAATACGAGGATTTGGTCTCATTCTCTTGGGCCACTAGGAATTCTATGAAAGCATGATTTCCAGCCAAGAGGATTGGAACAAAATGCATACTGCTCTGCACTTCCGTTCTGGCTGATTTAGAAGCAGTGACCTTGATGGGCCCTGACAGACATCCAGTCCTCTTTGACTTAAAGGATGTCCTTCTGGTACAGCATTTTGATTCTGGAAAGTGAGAGTTTTTTAGGATGAGAAATGGAGAGGGTCTTTCTTAGAGATTTCATGGGAGGGAAAAGCAGTTCAGTTATCCATGGCAGCTGTGTGTTCAGAGAACCTAAAACCTCTCCCCCTTCTCCCCAAATGTGAATGGGGAGTGAGCAGCTCTCACATAGAGCTGAACTGAACTGTCTTTCTTTTGTTTCTTCCAGGATCTGATTGTTCTCCGTGATGGGTTCAACCTGTTGCTCCCCAAGGTGAGAGGGAGGTGTGCACAGCATTCTGCTGGTGAACGTGGCTGATGGTCATTGGGTGAATGATGCTTATCCTACTTGGTCTCTGGGTGGATGTTGGTGAGGTGGCGTTCTTCTGGGATTTGGTGGGCACTAGGAAAACATGGCTGACTACTGTGGAGTGAATCTTTCCTTCACACTATCACTGGTCATTACCCGGCTTCCCCCAAAGCCTCTTGCTTCCTGAGGGATTGTATGGAAGTGGAAGGGTCTGTTATGAATATGTTATGCCAGAATTGGCTTCATTATGCTTGTGTCAGTCCTGAAAACAGAGAACTAAATGATTAACCACTCACCCTGCACATACTGGTGGAGATGGTAAACAGACTAAACTGGCCACTGATCCAATCAGTTGTAGTCATTCCTGTCTGCTTAAGTTTTATACAGAGCAAAACTTGTGTCTGCACCCTCAAGTGACAAATATATATGATGTTTCTAGTGGCTTTATAAATGGATCCGGTTAAGTTGTTATGTTTTTTTCTGTTTCCCCACTTCTGTCATACTTAAGCATGTGTCACCACTGTACCAAGACAGTTCTAGATTAGCTAGTAACTTTTCTTTACACTGCAGTTCCTTCTCTGACTCTGTGCCTGTTTTCTCCTGTCCCCTACTCTTATCAGCTTGCCACAGTGATTAGCCGGCTGACCGATTTTGCTGAGCAGTATGCTGACTTACCTACCCTGGGGTTCACTCACTACCAGTAAGTAGCCCAGAAGATTTTGCTTTAATTTCATAGTCTGCTCTTTAGATAGAACAGGCAACAGCAGCACCACCCTCCATCTTTTTCTCCCTCTGATCAGTTGATCTCACTACACTATGTCTCAAGTAGGGATGTAAGTGACTAGGCTACTATCCGATAAGCAAGAGCTTATCAGATAGTTGACACACTAGTCGATTAGCCACTTCTCCCCACCTTGCTGCCTCTATCAGGAAGAGGCAGCAAGGGGGGGGGCCAGAAGAGAGTCCTCCGCTGTCCCCGGACTCCACACAGCCTTTCAATCTTTGAAATGCACAAGAGCCCCTGCTGGGGCTTGCTACATTTCAAAGCGGAAGCACCCTTATTGACTAACTGAATTGTCGATGGACTATTTGATTAGTTGATTAATCTAATTTTAACATCCCTTGTCTCAAGTGAGTTTGAAAAACATGCTTAAGTCTCCTTTTGCACTAGGCAAATGAACCCCAGCTCTCAGCAATTGCTCCTTTTGAACCTGTGCTAAAAACAATTAACTTCTAATGCAAATGGTACCAAAACATTGTTACAGAAAGCACGACTGGGATGGCAGTCTCTGTGATGCTTTTCCTGTGCTGTCCAACTTGTGCTTGGATGGCAAGTCCCAGTGATGCTTTGCCTGTACTGTCGCTTCATCTGTTTTGAACAGCAGTTCTTAAAAACCTGCTGCTGGCAACTGATCACTTCTTTCATGTTGCATGGACTTCAACATTCAACATGGGGGGAGGGATAGCTCAGTGGTTTGAGCACTGCTAAACCCAGGGTTGTGAGTTCAATCCTTGCGGAGGCCATTTAGGGATTTGGGGCAAAAATTGCCAGGGATGGTACTTGGTCCTGTTGTGAAGGCAGGGGACTGGACTCAATGACCTTCAAGGTCCCTTCCAGTTCTAGGAGATAGGCAATCTCCATTAATTTAATTTAATATGAGTGAGGTTTGCATCTGCAGTTAAAACTGCAAGACCTATAAATTCTCATGTTTCAAGGCAGGTTGGATAAAAATCAATGCTTTAATAAAATTTAAGTCAGTGTTTTGATTTTGTTTACATTTGTTTTATTTTTAATATAAAAAATTAACATAAAATATTTCATGGCTTATAGTCTCTTACAGCATTTAAATCCATAAATATGCTGAATATAAATCAAATACTAACAAGCGGCTTCTCTCTATTAAAAAAAAGAATTGGGGGGGGTCTTAACTTTTGTGGCTAAGCTTTAAAAATATGGTGTAGTAGCTCATGTACTGTATTAAATGCTTGTTCCTATAGGGGAAAAGGGGCTGTGCTACTAACTGAATACAATAACAAATTTATTACACGCTTCAGAGGGGTAGCCGTGTTAGTCTATAACAGGAAAAACTTTAAAAACAACAAATAGTCTAGTAGTACCTTAAAGACTAACAAAACGTAGATGGTGTTATGAGCTTTTGTGCGCACAACCCACTTCTTCAGATGACAGGAGTATCACAGGCATTATCGCTGGCATTGGGCCAATCTCTGACTCCAGGAGATACCATCATGCATCTCATTAGGCTCATTTACTTAGCCCACCTGTGTGATTTTTATGCTCCTGCTTTATAGCTTCTCCATAGCTGAGCTGTAGCTCAGTTCTCAAATTATGAATATTTATACTCCACCCACCAGCTCATGGGAAAATACTAATCTACAGGGCTTGACAAATAAACTCGCCTGCTCGCCTGCAGCGAGTAGATTTTACCAGCTGGCGAGTGCAGGGGTGGACTGGCCTGGTGGGCCGTTGTGACAGGCTGGCTGAAGCCCGCACTACGGGCAGTGCGGCCCCATCCAATCCGCCGGCCGGTGGAGGAGCAGAGCACCTCCGGGGAGGGGGAAGTGCGGCGATTCTCAGTGCCGGGCTGCCTGTGTGCAGCTCCGGCACAAGGAAGCGGGGTGCAAGCCAGAGGGCGGGACGCCAGCAGACGCCAGGACGCTGGTATGACGTGGTGTCCTGATGTCACGGCTGGTGGCACCAAGGGACAGGGGTGCAGGAGAGACAAATGCCAGGGGGCCAAGTGCAGACAATGAGGAAAAGGGCAGGAGGGGAGGTGTCAGTGGGAGGGGGGACAGGGTGATGCTGGGAGAGGAGAGGGTAAGGGCACTGGAGGTTAGAGGGGATGGGGAGGTGCTAGGAGAAGGCTTGAAAGAAGGGGTGGGCATGGGGAAGGCGGGGATGGAGCAAGGCATCTGTGAGGGCACAGGGGCATGAGGGGAACGGGGGCAGAGGGTGATGAGGGGGTGGGTATCAGGGAAAAAGAGGGTAAAGGGGGCAGGGACAGTGAGGGAAGGAGGAGGCAGCAGGAGGGTGCAGGTGCCACGGGAATCTGGGGGTGAAGCAGAAGTGCAGACACCTACAGGGGAGGGACCAGCACCAGAGGAGAGAGGCAGGGCAGGTGTGTAGAGGGAGGTGTTAGAAGAGGGGATGAGGAGGGGTAGCTCACACGATCAGAGTGGGGCTACTGGAGAAGTGGGCACAGGGCGGAGAGAAGGGCTGGTGGAGTGGGGCAGGTCTCAGGAAGGCTGAGGGCAGTGAGAAGGGCAGGAGTCAGGACAGCAGAGGAGGGTGAGGAGTTGGGGGGCAGCAGGCACTAGGGGAGTTGATGGAGCAAGGGAAGGAGACATGGCAGCAGAGGGAAAAGGTAGAGGTTTATAAGATATTTATTAATTAACTTTGTTTTGTTTTGTTGTTTAGTGGGGAGGGTAGGATAGGAGAGTTGTGTAATGAGAGAAGGAACAGAATATGCAGCCAGAAAGGTGCAATATTCATCAGAGCAGGTCACTGGGAAAAAGGGACAACATTATTTAGCATGGAGCTTCTCGTACTGATTTCAACATTTAGGAGCTAGGGGAATTAAAAACTGCCATGGCTTCTAATTGTTTTTTAAAAAAGTAACCTATTTGGGAATATATCCAAGAAATTCCTATACCTCTGGGTAAAACAATAATTCATGGCAATTGTGAATGATGCAACAGAAGCGCAAGGTCTGGTTGCTAGAATAAAACGACATTATGAAAATTGCTCTTCGGAAGGCAGTGAATTTGAAGATGATGTGCCTGAACAATCTGGATCAGCTGGTTAGTTAATTTATTTGTGTGCCATTTTATAAGCTGCCTTCAATGTCTCACCATGCTAATTATAACTAAGATTATTGTCATAAATTTGTGTTTTGGGTAGAAACATGTTTTTTCCTAAGTTGTTTGGTATGTTGCTAGAGATAAGGGTTTAATTAGATTGAAATTAATAAAACCTAATTGTCCTGTAAAACTGAATTTAAAATAAATACCATTTAAACAATGGTACAGTCAGCTGCAGTAGAGGAAATCTTTAATTTACAATCGTTTGTTTGTTTGTTTAAAGCAGTGCACTGAATAATAACCAGTAAGGAAGGACATAAGGAGTTATGAAAGTCCATCATCTGCAGTGTTCACAACTTCAGAGTCATCTGCTGATACTTCCAGCAACGCTGCAACTAAACATACTTCAGGCTGTGAATTAACTGCATCAAAACATGCTTTCTTCATTATAACCCTGTTAAGAAATGCATGAATTTGCAATCAGGACCAGCAAAGGACCAGGAAGACACTATAAATGAAAAGATTACCGAGTTCTCCTTTTCATGTTGTTCAGGACAAATATTTCATTGACATAGTTCAGTCATTATGAATATGCTACACTACATCTGGAATCGCAGACAATAAGTAACAGTAAAAGCTGGAACAAACTGTGAACAAAAATTCGTGTCATTGTCACATACAATAAGGCAAATGTAGCAAAGATTAGAAGAAATCTAGAAGATAGCAATGGGAACCTGAAACTTATGTGGGTGTTCAGTACTCATTTGCTGTATCTTTTAGCTAAAGAATTAAGAACAATTGCAGGAATAAAAGTGAAAGTAGTTAAAGTTGCAATATGCTTCCATAACAACTGCTTTGCTTCAGCTTCACTAAAGAGAATAGAAGCATTTAAATGAATTCTCCCTCAAACTGCATGGTGGCATTCGATAGTTGATTGTTTTGAGCAGTTTATTAAGAACTGGCCTATTCTGATGATTTGTGAAGAAAATTGAGACAAAATAGCTGGGACTCTCACTGCCAAAGTAGTCAACATTGGACTAAAAAGAAATGTAGAAAATATGCTGGACGTGCAGAAACCTATTTTCATAGCATTGGACAAATGACAGAAAGATTGCTGCTGAATTGCTAATGCTGTAGAAATTTTAAAAGAACTTTGAGACATTGAAGAAAGAAATACCCAGCACCAAAATAAATAAGCAGATACATCAAGCACTTTACCTCATTGCCTACCCGTATTCTCAGCTGGAAGTACCAGGTAGATGCCAAACTTCTGAAGAAGATGGTGCTATGACATAAACATTAAATAATCACCCATCAATCTTGCCAGCCATAAGCATAAGAACGGCCATACTGGGTCAGACCAACGGCCCATCAAGCCCAGTATCCTGTCTGCCGACAGTGGCCAATACCAGATTCCCCAGAGGGAGGGAACACAACAGGTAATCCTCACGTGATCCCTCCCCTGTCACCCACCTCCAGAGAAATAGGGTAGGGACACCATTCCTACCCATCCTGGCTAGTAGCCATCGATGGACCTAAGCTCCATGTATCTATCTAGCTCTTTTTTGAACCCTGTTAAAGTCCTAGTTTTCCCCTCATCTTCTGGCAAGGAATTCCACAGGTTGATTGTACACTGAATGAAGGAAAACTTCCTTTTGTTTGTTTTAAACCTGCTGGCTATTCATTTCATTTGGTGACCCCTAGTTCTTATATTATGGGAACAAATAAATAATTTTTCCTTATTCACTTTTTCCACACCAGTCATGGTTTTATAGATCTCTATCATATTCCCCCTTAGTCTTCTCTTTTCTAAGCTGAAAAGTTCAAGTCTTTTTAATCTCTCTTCATATGACACCCATTCCAAACCCCTAATCATTTTTGTTGCCCTTTTCTGAAGCTTTTCCAATACCAATGTATCTTTTTTGAGATGAGGCGACCACATCTGTATGCAGTATTCAATATGTGGGCGTACCATGGTTTTATATAGAGGCAATACAGTATTTTCTGTCTTATTCTCTATCCCTTTTTTAATGAATGCTAACGTTCTATTTGCGTTTTTGACTTCCGTTGCACACTGAGTGGATGTTTTCAGAGAATATCCACAATGACTCCAAGTTCTCTCTCTTGAGTAGTTGTAGCTAAATTAGTCCCCATCATATTGTACATATAGTTGGGATTATTTCTTTCAGTGTGCATTACTTTACATTTATTAGCGTTAAATTTCATTTGCCATTTTGTTGCCCAATCACTTAGTTTGGTGAGATTTTTTTGAAGCTCTTCACACTCTGCTTTGGTCTTACCTATCTTGAGCAGTTTTTTATCATCTGCAAATTTTGCCACCTCACTGTTTACCCTTTTCTCTAGATCATTTATAAATAAGTTGAATAGGATTGATCCCAGGACAGACCCTTGGGGGGCCCCACTAGCTATCTTTCTCCATTCGGAAAACTTACCATTTATTCCTACCCTTTGTTTCCTGTCTTTTAACCAGTTACCAATCCATGAGAGGACCTTCCCTCTTATCCCATGACGACTAACTTCACTTAAGAGTGTTTGGTGAGGGACCTTGTTACAGGCTTTCTGGTAATCTAAGTACACTATATCTACTGGATCCCCCTTGTCCACATGTTTGTTGACCCCCTCAAAGAACGCTAGCAGATTAGTAAGGCATGATTTCCCTTTACAGAAACCATGTTGATTTTCTCCCAACAAATTATGTTCATCTATGTGTCTGAACATTTTATTCTTTTCTATAGTTTAAACTAATTTACCTGTTACTGATGTTAGGCTAACCTGTCTGTAATTGCTAGTATCACCTCTAGAGCCCTTTGTAAATATTGGTGTCACATTAGCTATCTTTGGGTGTGTCTAGACTACTGAGTTTTGTTGACAAAAGTGGACTTTTGTCGACAAAACTATACCAGCGTCTACACTACCGCTGAGTTCTGTCAACATAACGTCGACAGAACTCAGCAGTTTTGTCGACGCTGGTATACCTCATTTTACGAGGCATAACACCTTCTGTCAACAGAGTTCTGTCGACAGAAGGTGTACCAAATATTGCCTGTAGGGTTGCGTCTAGACTACAGGGTTCTGTCGACAAAGCAGCTTGCTTTGTCGACAGAACTCAATGTGTCTGGACGCTCTTTGTCGACAGAAGTTTTGTCGACAGATACTGTCGACAAAACTTCTGTCGACAAAACCCGGTAGTCTAGACGTACCCTTCCAGTCATTAGGTACGAAAGTTGATTTAAATGATAGGTTACAAACCACAATTAAATGTGAAATTGAGGAACTATTAAGTTCTTTCAGAACTAGTAAATCATCTAGTAAATAAGCAAATATAATTTACTATTTTATTTAATTACATAATTTAATATTTTCTAACATACTAAAAATGTATAAGAAGAATCTGGAAAATATTAAGCTATACAACTGCTTAAATAAACTTATGTTTGTAGTGTGCCCTCTTAAGTAGCAAAAATGTACCAAATATAGTGTAAAGGCTCTATTTAGTTGTAAATGAATATGTTTTAATGGCTATATCAAGTAGAGAGAATAAAACTTTCTTTAGAAAATAATTGAAGCAACAAATGAAAAAGTTGATTAAAATTGAGGCTAGTTGGTTACTTAAACTGCTGATTTACATCAATGCTCTCTATTTTAGGATATAATTGGTCACTAGCAGGGGTCAGGAAATATTTATCCTATGGGATAGGGTTGTATAACATTCTATATGATGGGAGGCTGGTGCCTTTTCTCTGGTACATCTGCATTGTTACTTTTTCAAACCTCTTCAGCAATATTTTTAAAGTATTTTTATAAAAGTATTGACCAAAGAGATGAGTCTATATAGCTGTTACACTTTTGCTTGTCCTTAATTAGGACAATATTTAGGGCTTCCCTCATAGAAGAAGTTAACATACATTTCTTTAAAGCATCTTCATAAATTTAGAACAATTTAGGGACCAGAAAATGTTATCAATATGCCATCAGGGCTTAGGGTCTTTCTGAGACTTATTTTTTCCCTGGCCTTGATTACTTCCTCTGATTGCAAAGGAGAGACCAGCCTGGCTTGCTGCTCTTCTGATTTTTCTGGGGGTTAAGAATTTTAAGAAAATCATTCAATTCATCTGGATCCGGTGGTAAATTGTTATTGTAAAGTGCCTGGTAGAATTAAAAAATTGATCACTGAATCTTTGTGTTTAGTAATATCGTAATTCTGGTATTATTTGGGACCTTTAAGCTCTCACTTTTAATCTATATGTAAGAATGTTCCCTACTCTGTCCCCCAATTCCTTACATGTTTGCTTGAGTCCAAGACGGGCAAATTTGTCCTTATGGGAAACCTACAGATTTTCTTCATCTTCCTTTGAGATTAGTAACCTTCCTTGCAGTGCTTTAATAGTTTTTTTCTGTTGCTCTGAGATTATATGCATAGTACTAACCGTATCGTCTAGCAAGGAGATTCTAGCTTCCTCAAGTCTTAATACCAAGCTTTACAAGTTAGCTTGATATGTGCTGATAATGTATTTTATCTCATTTATACCTTCAGATAGGTTTCTTAAAATAGTCTGGTCACTTGAGGTTTCTTTTAGCCAGTCCATAATTGCATCTTGTCTCAGGGTTGGCCTTTTCCTAATCAACCATTCTGGTTGCAAGAGGATTGTTTGACAGCTTCTGCATTTTAGGGTATTGTGTAGGGTTGCCAACTTTCTAATCTTACAAAAACCAAATACCCCTGTCCCTCCCCTTCTCCAAGGCCCCATCCTCCTCTCACTCCTCTTCTCCCTCTCCCCCCACACACTCACTTGCTCCCCTCACACATTCATTTTTACTGGCAGGGAACCTGGGGCGCAAGAGGTAGGGTGTGCTCTAGCTGGGGATGCCATGGTGTGGGGGTTCACAGTGTGGGAGGAGGTTCCTGGGTTGGGTTGGGTTCAGGCTCGGGTGGGGCTAAGATGAAGAGGTTGGAGAGGATGCAGAGTGCAAGCTCTAGGAGGCTTTGTGTGTGGGAGGGAACTAAGGACTGGGGCAGAGAGCAGATTTGGGGTGCAGAAGGGGGTTTGGTTGTGGGAGGGGGTGTGGACTCCAAGAAGGAGTTTGGGTGAAAGAGTGAGGGTTCCAGGCTGGGGCAGGAGGTTGGAGTTCAGGAGGTATGTGGGGTGTGGTTCTAGGCAGCACTTGCTCCAAGAAGGAGTTTGGGTGAGAGAGTGAGGGTTCCAGGCTAGGGCAGGAGGTTGGAGTTCAGGAGGCATGTGGGGTGTGGTTCTAGGCAGCACTTATTTCAGGGGGCTCCCTGGAAGCAGCAACATGTTCCTTGGGTTCCTAGGCATGGGGTGGCCAGGAAGCTCTGCACAGTGTGTGCTGCTGTCCCGTCTAGGCACCATCCCTTCAGCTCCCATTGACTGTGGTTCCTGGCCAGTAGGAGCTGTGGAGCCAAGGCACAGAGCAGGTGCAGATGGCTCAAACTGCCCCTGCATGTAGGAGCTGCAAGAACATATCCGGAAGCCACGCGGAGCCAGATAGGGAGCCTGCTAGCCCCACCAGACTTGATGGCCCAGTAAGCAGTGCTGACCAGAGCTGCCAGGGTCCCTTTCCGACCAGGCATGCAGATTGAAAAGCAGATAGCTGGCAACCCTAATGTTGCACGAAGTCTGGAGAAGGAAAGTGTTGTGGAATAAGATCTGATGACTATTACATTTAAAGAACTTATTTGCTTGCTGATGGTTGTGCATTTCAGTAGGTGGAGAAAGGAGCTGCAAAATTACACTGCCACCATTCCTCTTGTGCCTTCTAGAAGTCCCTATATTTAGTTTTTTAATTTTCTCCATAAACTAGACTTTTCAGCATCTTTATTGCTGTCTCTTCTCTCAGACCCTTCATGCGAAACGAAGGAGGGCAGCAAGTGGTTATGGTGGTTCTCATTACAGCAGTGTCTGAGTGCCTGCCTTTCTCATGAGGCTGTGCAAAGCATGTGTGCAGATGGTGATGCGATGATAATCTGCCTTGCTTACTCTCAGGCCTGCACAGCTAACCACAGTGGGGAAACGCTGCTGCCTCTGGATCCAGGACCTCTGCATGGATCTGCGAAACCTGGAGCGGGCTCGAGACGACTTGCGATTTCGTGGTGTGAAAGGCACCACTGGCACCCAAGCCAGCTTCTTGCAGCTGTTTGAGGGTGATCATGATAAAGTGAGTCATCAAGTCAGTGAGCAAAATGTCCAGTAAGCAGGTTGGGAAGATTCTCCTTCCCCACAAAGTCAGGGTCAAGGGCTGAATAATTGCTATGATGGTTGGTTGGCAGAGCTGTTTGGGAGAGCAGAATAGTAATAATGGGAGTGCTTCAGGACAGGGTTGAGGTATGCTGGCAGAGTTCTTGGTGGGTTCAGAGGGAAGGGGAAGTTGAAGCCTTTACATTTTTGTCCTTTGTCAGTCTCCCTGTGTGTTTGATGCTTTTCAGTCATTGCGTTCTGAGGTTCCTTTCTGTTTTCCTCAGGTAGAGGAGCTGGACAGGCTGGTGACTATGAAGGCAGGATTTAAGCGGTATGTAAAAAGCTTGCTTACCCAGTTCTCTTAAAATATGCTGAGAATGAATAGCCTGACACATTTTCCCACTGTCCATAGTAACACAGGTTTTAGTATCCAGCTAATTAACCTCAACTCTATTAGGCTCAAGTTTAGAGAGCACTTTCATGTGGTTCTGTTCCTTGCAAATCCACACTGCATCTCTGTGAAGGAAACTCCGTCTCCCAGCTAGTGCTCTTTTTCTGCTTCTCTCCCTTACTCTTTTTCATCCTGTCCAAATATGGGCTCCTGTTCTTCCTCCCTTGTCTCTGCTTGCCAGCCCAAGGAGCAGAGCAGCATGAATCAAAGTTTCCCACTAGTGTGAAAGAGAAACCAGGAAGTCAAATGAAGTATTGCAGGTCAGCTGGTGGTATTAGCCAGGCAGAGCTCTGCAGCATTGCCCCTACAGCGCGCATACTCACTGAGTCCTATTTTAATGGTGCTTGTGTCTTGTGTCAACAATCTTTGTTGTGGTTTCCAGAGCTTATCTCGTCACAGGGCAGACCTATAGCCGCAAAGTAGATGTTGAAGTCCTATCCGTGCTGGCCGGTCTGGGGGCATCCATACACAAGGTGAGGTCCCTGTCTTCAAACTATGAAAGGGGAAGCGAAATACTGTCAGTCTGATGGGGTTGAGAAGAGAGATTCTGATGCAGAACACTTTCTGTGGGAAACCTGAGATAGAGTTGAGGGCTTAACTCCTCTCTGCTCTACCAGACAAATTCTTTACTGGAAGATCCCATACCTGTTTATTTTAGTTGTGAGTGGTGCAAAATGAAATAAAATGAATTCACTGAGACTCTAAGGGGAGAGATCCCAAGCAACATAGTAATCAAATTTGTGTTAAAGCAAATCCAGTTAGAATAAATGCCCTTCCTAATGGAGCATGTTTTAAAATCTCACCCTTTCCTCCCCCAGTATGTTCCTCCCATTGAATTGTCTCTCATTGAGATAAGTCCTTGTTGGATTATACCTCCCTTTGATTACCTCCACACCCTCCTTTGCCTGGCCTTTCAACCTGTGATATTTATCCTGTCTTATTTAGACAGTATATTTGCTGCTTAGTGAACATTTCAATATTTAAGCACTATGTGAATGGTAAATCAGTAAACACTGATACATCTTCCCTCTCCTGACTATTTGTGGAGTCCGTATTTAAGCACTATGTGAATGGTGTATCAGTGTTTACTGATTTATCTTCCCTCTCCTGACTATTTGTGGAGTCCTGTCTAGAGATGTGAGGGACTAGTCAACTAATCGCTTCCTTCCCCCTCCCCATTTGCTGCCTCTATCAGAAAGAGGCAGCAGGGGGGAGACGGAGAGAAGGGAGTACTTCAAAGTGGCAGGGCTGCTTGGAGCCTGGAGCCAGACCCCAGGCTGCATGCAATGCTGCTGCTTTCAAACACCGCAGGGAGCTCAGCGTCAGGCTCCTTGCAGCGTTTCAAAGCAGCAGTGCCACGTGGAGCTCAGGATCAGCGGGGGAGTCCCCAGCTGACCTTGGGCTCCACATAGTGCTTTCGCCTTTGAAGTGTAGCTACAGCCCTAAGGCCGTTGCTACACTTGAAAGGCGGAGGTGCCCTATCAGCTAGTCAAACAGTCAATGCAGAATGCATCGACTATTCGATTAGTCAGTTAGTCAATATTTAACATCCTATCATATCAGTAGGATAAACATCCCTTCTCTCTTTCTCATTCTTTTGACTTGAGCTCTTTAAGTATAAATTAGGAAGTTTAAGAAAAATTACAATCACTTTGGAAATTGTCCTCAGTCTTCTCTGAGGTGCTACACTGTCAGGAAACCTGGTCACAGCTTTCTGATTTTCTAATGAGGATACAGCTGTGATTCATTTGTAATATCAATTGAGCCTTCATTTTTCCATAAAAAGGCTTAAATCTTAGTTTGAAGTGCCTCACTTTTTGAGGGGAATTATTCTCTCCCTCCCCAAGCTACTTCATGGACATTGACACGTTGTGTCTCCAGACATGTTATCTAGTACAGGTGAGAACCACTTTTTGTGTGTGTTCATTTGTTCTTGTTGCTTCTTTTTAGATCTGTACTGACATCCGCCTTCTTGCCAATCTCAAGGAGATAGAGGAACCTTTCGAGAAAGAACAGATAGGTAAGGGGTGACAGACATTGACTGGTGATCCTTGTTCCAGTTAGCTTATCTTTTCTTTTGCCTTGGTGATCTCCATCCCAGCAACAGTTGTGATGGCACTGACAAAAATTGCTTTTTATTAAAAAGTGTATTTTTTTTAACCTGTTTGTACCTGCAGGTCCTTACACATTGTAATGATTTATTAACAAGGAAAATTGGCATTGGGCCCGAATGCCCTGACTTGACTCCTCACTTCAGCACAGATGAGAGCCTGATCCTCAGAGGCGCAGAGCACTCTTGGCTGCCATTAAAGTTAATTGGCTCAGTATTGCTATCCCTTTATATATTAACAATCTTGAAGAGTAAAACCAAGCTGGATCCTGGCACCAAAAGAGGTCCTTGAGGTAGCTTTGATATATACAGGGAAGGGGAGAGAATTCCAGAACTCTGAAGTCATAACTGAGAGAGCCTAGCCTCCAAAGTTGGTGCTGTAAGATGAGTCAGCGTTTTTCATTGTCACCCATTCCAAAGCAACAAGCTTTTTAAATAGTGACAGGTTCCTTTCTAAACACTGAACCCTCAGACTTTCAGTCAGTCACTGCAGGTTACTGATTTTCATAGCTAGGCCGTCAAGCAGACATACAAATTACAGCACATTAAAGTAGCTCGGCCTCGTTTCTTTCTTTCATACTGATATAGGGTTAGGCGTTAAGGCCCCCACTTTCTCTTTTGGAAGTACAGATGCAGTTCTGGTTTGGGGGATGGTTTAAAAAAGACCTGCATGGTATGATGCAGTGTTGGTGTAACCTTATTGGTCCTGAAATATTAGAGAGACTAGGTGGGCAAAGTCATATCTTCTATTGAATCAACTTCAGTTGATGAGTCAAGCTTCCGAACTTGAAAAGCTCAGTATAAGTGAAAAAGCTTTTGTCTCTCACCAACGGAAGTTTGTTCAATAAAATATATTATCTCATCCACCTTGTGTCTCTGCATAGTCTGAATCAGACTGAAAAGTGAACAATGGCTTTTTTTCTCTTGAGGAGGCCAGCTTTTTTCTGATCTCTCCTCTTCTTTGTGTTTCATGTCTGGACATGTCTTCATCATCCTCTTTTACCACATTCCTCCCTGTGTTTTTTCTTGCCCCCAGGTTCCAGTGCCATGCCTTACAAGAGGAATCCAATGCGTTCAGAGCGCTGCTGCAGCCTGGCTCGCCACCTGATGACTCTGGTCCTGAATCCACTCCAAACAGCCTCTGTGCAGTGGTTTGAGCGCACCTTGGATGACAGTGCTAACAGGTCCATCCACATCCTCCAGGGATAGCTCGGGGGAGAGTAAAGAGGAGAAAAATCCTAGTTATATGATGAAATAAAGGAATAGGTTGGCTTTAGAGGGGGTTAAGACTAGTTTGGGGTAAATAGTCTCCTCTGCCTTAATCGAGGAATAGCACATTGGTGTATTCAGAATAGGGATGTAATGGCTTATGGGCAATGGTTAACAAGTACCCAGGAACAGCTGCAGGCCAAAGGCTGCTCTAGTCCTGCTGGACCCCTGCATGGCCTGGGAGCCAGCAGATGCATGTGGAGCCAGTAGAACTGCTTCAATCCCTCCTGAGCTAGGATGACACCTCTCCCCCCAAATTGGTTAACTGGTTAAACAGCACATTTAATCTGTTAACCAGTTAAACAGGGTTTTACGTCCCTAATTCAGAATATTGTCTTTTTAATCTACGCCCCTCACTTCCGAGTCTCATGCTGGCAGACACCACTTTATGAAAAGCAACATTATTGGGGGACATTTGGAGCCCAGCAACAGTGGCTGTAAATTGGCTTCTGTCTTTGAGTGAAAGAGGAATCAGTGTTTTACACAGTCAAGATCCTCCGAAAAGAAAAATAGCAATTCTGGGGAATGGTACAGTGACCAGAGGTAAAGATAACACACTGTTCTTCTTATCCTGGCCTCTCCCAGCAGCAGATGCTTCATAGAACCCTTCAAATCCATGGATATCCACTTTATATCCGCAGGTATCCACATCCATGTATGCAGATATCTGCGGCTCATTTATGCGGATGCCAATTTTGTATCTGCGCAAGGCTCCTGTGCTGTGTATTGCTACTACCTTCCCCAATTCCAGCCATCCCAGCAGAAAGTACGCATTAGGAATAGTTCTGGCTGTTCAGAGGGGGAGTTGCCATCTAGAGACATGTGTGCACATGCTAGGGCAGTGGTCACCGACCAGCAGATTGTGATCAGGTGGTCAGTCCTGGAGACTCTCGCGGTTGATTGTGATCTCTGGTGGTGCAGCAAGGCTACTGCTAAGGCAGGTTCTGAGTCCCTGCCTGCCCTGGCCCCACACTGCTTCCAGAAGCAGCCAGCATAACCTCACGTCCTTGTGTTGAGGGAGGGATGGCAGGTGTTTTGGCACGCTGTTCCTGTATGAAAGCCCCACTGCTGCAGCTCCCATTGAGCCAAGAATGAGGGACTATGCCTATTGCAGCTGGGGAGCGGTGCTAGCAGAGGGGCAGCACATGGGGCCATGTACCCCTTGTCCCCAGGCGCTGCAGGAGTGTATTAGTCATTTCTGGGAGCAGTGTGGGGCAGGTACAGGCAGGAAGCCTGCCTCAGGCAGCTCCTGGTTGGTGGCACAGCAAGGCTAAGTGCCTTTGCAACAAACAATTAAAAATGACAATCTGCTGTCATACTCTAATTTAATGAATAACAAACAGCTCACTAGAAGTGCTGCCTGGGAGGAGGCTGGAGCCTAGACCTCCTCCGGAGCCAACACCCCAGTCCTCCTGCATCCCAAGCCCCTGTCCTGATCACCCCCCTCCCAAAGCCCCTTCCAGTCTGGAGTTCCCTCTGAGCTAGCACTCCACATCTCCTCCTGTATCCCAACACTTAACCCCAGCCCAGTGTACCCACCTGCACCCAGACTGTCCCAGATCTTTGTGCACTCCAACCCCTTATACCAGGCTCAGCTCAGAGCCCCCAACCTCTGCCGATCCCTTACCCCATCCTGGTGAAAGTGCATGAGGGTGCGAGTGAGCAGTGGGGGATGGAGTGAGCAGAGTGGGGCTTTAGGGAAGGGCAGGGTAGATCCTAGGTTGCGCTTAAATTCAAAAAAGGTAAACTTGGAAATAAAAAGTGTGGAGACAACTGTGCTAGGAGATGAGTTAGGCTGCCTCATCCCTAACCCAGATGCCCGGGTTATATCTGTTTTACAGGCGTATATCTTTGGCAGAGTCTTTTCTCACAGCTGACATCATACTGAGTACGCTGCAGAATATCTCCGAAGGATTTGTGGTGTACCCCAAGGTAAGGAAACAGCATTATATGCAGTGTTGAGTCCCAAGCCATCCCACTCAGAGCACTGATTTCCTGTCTGCTGGCTCAGTGGATATTCCTAAGGGCTGCTGAGCCAAGCGGTCCAGTTTCTCACCATGACTCTCTTCTTTGCGATACAAAAATCAAAGAGCTCATGAAGAAATTAAAATGCAACTAACTTAAAACAGATCAAAGAAAATACCATTTTCTGAAGTGTACGACTAACTTGTGGAACTTGTTGCCACAGGATATTGTTAACACATGTCTCTTACTAAATCATAGAACACTAGAACTGGAAGGGACCTTTAGAGGTCATCAGGTCCAGTCACCTGCCCTCATGACAGGAAAGAACACATTTGGAGCACCATGGGGCAGGAGTATGGCAGGAAATACCTGACCAAATCTACTGATTGTCCACTCCAGTGTGATAGAACCTGTTTCTTTTTGGCTTTTTAGGTGATTGAGAGGCGGATCCGACAGGAACTGCCCTTCATGGCCACAGAGAATATCATCATGGCCATGGTGAAAGCAGGGGGTAATCGCCAGGTATGTATGAGGATCTGATGCTCACTAGCAGGCATCATACTCTCAGAGAATGGAAGGGTATAAAAGTTCAGAATTATTTTTCTTTTCGAGGGTCTGATGCTCACTACCAGGCATCATACTCTCAGAGAATGGGAGGGTATAAAAGTTCAGAATTATTTTTCCTTTCTTCCTAGGTGACTCTTTAGGCTACCAGAGCTGTTAATCTTATGATTATGCTGCAGGGCCAGTCTTTTCCCAGTAATTTGGGACAGGAGCAGGTTGGGGGAATTTTTATTCATTAGTAGAAGCATTCTACTATCTATATTCACAAATAATAGATAGTAACTTAATGGAGATTCTACCACCTCCCTGGGCAACCCATTCCAGTTCTTCATCATTCCCCAGCCTAGTCAAATAGGTTTTTTTTCTACTATCCAACCTAGACCTCCCATTCTGCAACTTGAGACCATTACTTCTTGTAGTGACCTATTTGTTATTTATTACATTAGAATATGATAGCAGATGTAATTTTTAATTGTTTGTTGCAGAGGCACTCAGTACAGGATGGACAATTGTTAGTGGAAGCAGTTTGACACATTGAATCTCTTTTGTAAATGAAAACACCGGGGGGAAATCACTGTTATAATGAAGATGCTAAATAAGGCTGTTCTGAACACCCAATCGCACGACACCTCACTAGATACCTCCCTCATAAAATCAACATTGTACTTTTCTCATAACTCTCCATGATCCTTCAGCCAGTTGTTAATCTGGGAGACAGGCTTCATATCAGACTCTTTTGATTTGAGTCTCTGTCTCCCAGCAAGTGTTGCTGAGAATTCTAATGCAATTCAAACACCATGACTGTGTGTTCCCATCATCACTAGCTTTGTAGTTCAGTCTAAATCAGGTAATCAGCTTGCTTGGCAGGATTCATTCTTAATACATTCATTCAGATTATATTTCCACTTGCCTCCAAACAGCAATTTCCCCCTTAATAGTAGTTTCATTGATTTATTAGTGACAGCAGACTTGCAGGTTGGTAAGAACAGGTGGGATTTTTAGGAGTGTTTAAATGAGGAGCTTTCAATGGGACTTCTGTGCTCCTACCTCACTTACATATTCCTGAGCACCCTTCCAGTATGGCTAGGGCCAATGCATACGCACTCTGTCTTCAGGTGCATCGTGATTTTTCCTTAACTTTTCAAAAAATGTCAGTGGGTCACTAATTTTAGTAACTTAATTCTCAGAACACACAGAAGTCCTGCCATAACTGCAAATTGACTGGAATAAATTCAGATTTTCCAAATAGTCTCTTAACTTTTCAGCTATAGTTCTCTTTAAAGCGGGGATGGGCAATAATTTTTAATGGGAGACCACTCCAACATTTTGCAAGTGGTCAAGCGCCACACTTCTAGGAGGGAGTGCAGGGTCTGGGACAGAAGTTGGGTGCGGAAGGGAGCTTGGGGTAGAGGACTGGGGTGCAGGAAGGGGAGTGGGGGGTCTGAGAGGGAGTTTGGCTGAAGGAGGGGGTTGTGACCTGGGGCAGGAGACTGGGGTGCAGGTCTGGGAGGGGTTATGGATGTAGGAGAAGATTCTGGCCAGGGGAGAGGAATAGGAGGGTAGAGGAGGGAGTTGTGACCTGGAAGAAGTGGGAAAAGGGGTACAGAGGGTTTGGGAAGTGGCCTGGGGCAGGTAGTTAGATGGGAGGGAAAGGTGGGATGCCAGAGGCAGGCTCTGGCTGGGAGGTGCTTACCTTGGCGGGTCTCAGCCAGCAGCCCTGCAAGAACCTGAGGAAAGCTGGCTGCTACAGTCCCAGGCTCCTGCACCACATGGCTCTGCTCTCGGCATAGGAGAATGGGGAGAGGGAGGGAGGCTTCACACTGCCTCTGCCCCCAGCAAAATTTCTCAGCTCCTATTGGCCAGAAACTGGCCAATGAGAACTGAGAGATTTTGCTGGGAGGCAGGGCACCACACGAAGCCTCCCTCCTCCTTTCCCAGCCCTCCAGAGCACAAAGTGAGCTGCTTTCTACCTAAGGGTTCCAGGGAGGCAGCCACAGGCTAGATCTGGTGGCTTGGCAGGCTAGATTCAGCCCGCTGGGGGTCTGTTAAGGGTCCACAAATTGCTCTCTTTCCAATTGAGTGGAAAAGAGTTGAATGTTAGCTACTTGAGATTTGTCTGCTCCGCAATTAAAAATTTGCAGCTTTAAAGCCCTCCTCACTAGGTTAGTATGCCTGCCTGTGAAGAGGCTCTTCCCTCTCCTTGTTACATGGATTCCATCTCTTCTTATCAATTCTTCTTCCTGAACAACATCCCACAGTCAAATAATTCAAAGCCCTCTCTCTCTCTGACACCACCTGAGCAACCATGCATTTACCTCCACAGTTTGATGGTCCCTATCAGGACCTTTTCCTTCAATGGACCCTTTCCTTCCGTCTCCCACCTCAAAGTCTTAATTCTTCCCAGAAAAACATCCTGCATTGACCCGTTCAAGATCATTTTTGGCAAGTAGAAAAGGGAAACAGTCCTATGGCTTATTCGGTATCAGCAGTCACTCCGTTACATCCTGAATTCTAGCAAGCAGCACACTTCTCAAGTTTCCTGGTCTGGAAGGCAGATAGGTGACTCTATCCTCCTCAGGAGGGAGTCTCTGATCACCTTCCCCGTCTCCTCCTCTTAGGAGTGAAGGTTGTAGAGTCCCCCATCCTTAGGACAATGCATCCCATGTGTCTCCTCCTCTTGGGAGTGAAGGTTGTAGAGTCCCCCACCCTTAGGACAATGCATCCCATGTCTTCCGATTGATGGGGTCTTCTGGTCCCATTCCTCGGATAATTCTTCCAAATCATTATCCACTGTTGTACCTGTGCAGAGAGCCCGAAACTGGTTTCTAACTTCTATCTGTGCCTGCAGTACCAAACGCTGACATCTCTGATGCAACACAAGGTAGATACTTGGGCCTCTAGTCCTTTAACCTCTTCCAATATGGAGACCAGCTTGCACTTCATATAGACAAAGTCACTTCTATCCTCTGGGAGAAAGACAAATATGGCACATCCCATGCAGGTCACAACAGCTTATCGCTCTCTATCCAGATTGTCTTCCTTCTAAGAGCCTTTTCAGATTTTGTATTTATTGCTCTCAGAAACCTGAAAGGCAAAAGAAAAAAAAAACTTTTGTGGGAACTCCCCCCAGGCAAACTCCCTGTTTGCCTGTTCACTTTTCAATTCACTGACTGCTTTTTTATTAGGCTAGAAGGGAGACAAATGATCTCCCACAGACCCTATGAAGGATCTTCTCTTCCTTCATTGCCATAGGACAGGGGCTCATTTTCCTGGCATCATTCCCCCCCGTCCTTCCCCGAATCCCATAGAGTGCGCTCTGTAAACCTGTGGTGCAAAACTGAATGGGCCAGTGAAAGAGCATGTGGGTCGTCATTGGCAGCATGAGGGTGAAAAGGGCATTAATCAAATATAATACATCTCTCTGCTCTTAGGGTCCTTAGAGAGCTGCAGTTGGGAAAATCTGTTGGCATGACTCCAGTGGAGCTACATGGGTGGGGATCAGGGCCAGTGTGGAGGTATAGGACTTTTGTGCTGCTGCCTCTGTGGAAAGCTGAGGAGAGCCGGCATGCACAGAGAGCTGGCTTGAGAGTTGGTTTCCTGTGCATGTTGGCTCCTGGCAAGTAACCCTCCACCCCCAGCCCTGTGCTGCTGCCTTTTCCAGAGTTTACATGTTTACACAAATAAATGATAGTTAACATCCCTACCATGTACCTTGCACTTCAGGGGCAATTAGTGATGGATAAAGAATTCCTGTGTGCCCAGTTTATATCCTGCTTTGGGAAGAGTCATGATGATGTTCCAATGACAGACCACAGATAGGTTAGAATTACTAAATGTATTCCACGATGAACCCCAAGTATGCCTCTGAGAAAGTGGAAAGAGTTCCAGCATCTCATTTTAAAGGCTGCATTGTGCAGCACATTCATATGCACACTGTATTGGAGTGATATGGTGATAGACCTCAAATAGCTACAAACTTTAGCTGTTTCGTTCCTGTGCAGTGCAACAGCCTTTGACCCATCTCTGCCCTCCAGGAACCATTGAATCAGCTGGCTCCAAGTATGCTATCAGTAACATGATGATTGCTCTCTTCCCCCTAGGATTGCCATGAGAAGATACGCATTCTTTCCCAGCAGGCAGCTGCTGTTGTAAAACAGGAAGGTGGGGATAATGACCTCATTGCTCGTATTCGTGCAGACCCCTATTTCAGCCCAATCCAGGGGCAACTGGAGAGCCTCTTGGAGCCCTCCTCCTTCACCGGACGTGCTTCCCAGCAGGTGAGGTTGCGGAAAGCAGCTTATGATGTTATGGGGTGTCTTGCCTTAAATTATTCAAACCATGTCCCTTTTTGCAGTTCAGGAGATTCACTTTCTGTATCTTTGTCCCGTTCCACTCTGCCCATTCCTCTAAATCAGGGATCCTTTTTTTCAATCTGGAGCCACTGACCTACAGAAAAATCAGTCAGGGCCTCACACAATTGAAAAGTGGGAGGGGCGAGCCCCAAAGCTCTCTCACTCACTGTGGGGTTGTAGCATGAGCGCCAGCTCACCCTGGGCCAGAGCCAAAGTAAACTGAAGTTTGGATCTGGCCCACATGCCATAGGCTCTCTTCCTCCCCCTCACCCCCAATAAAAAGGAAGAAGGGGTTACCATTTTCGTAGCCACGTAAGGCATCCCTTCCCTTTTCTGTCCATCTCCGTTCCCCTTCTGTCTCCCCCATAATCTTTGATTCCCCCATAGTCCTTGAGGTGCTGGGTGACTAGGTGCTTCTGTGAGTCTAAGACCTGGGGGCCACAAGGTGGGGCTGAATGATGCCCAGAGAAGAACCAATTTCTTTTTCTAACCTTCCCTTCCTCTTGAGCAGGTGGCGAGGTTCCTGAAGGAGGAAGCTCGCCCAATGCTGACCCCATACCAAAGCAAGATGGGTGTGAAAATGGAGCTGGCACTTTAGGCTGGGCTTGTGGATGTATAGGGTGTGAGTGATATTAAAAGCCTTTATAAACCAAACCTATTTATTGTGTCTGTCTATACTTGTGAGGGTGTGCACCCTGAGTGACACACAACCATTCCAAGGCTCACACTGATGCTCTCCAAATGTACAGTGGTATTCCTTATTCCAGATCTGCTGTATAGCCAGCCACCCACCCTCCCTTTCCTTTTTGTTTAGGGTGCTGGGAGGAGGTTGGCCCACCTTTTGTTCTTATTCTGACTTCACCAAACGAGTGACAACTCCATCACATACTCTGTCTTCTCTTCTTATGGTACGTTTCAAGTGGTTTAAGTAGGCAGCACTAAGGACTCACTGGCTTCTAAAACTTGATCATCAGTTGAAGGGTAGGGGAAAAGAGAAATCCATTTTGCTGTCTCATTTGTATGCTATGTGAATGCTTGTCCGTAGTGGTGCCAAAGTATTGGTGGGAGCTCTTTCTATGAAGGATTATGATTGTCACACTTGACACCTGCTTTGGCCAGATGATTAGGAGTAGTGAAGGGAGAAAGTCTGGGCCTTGAGTGTTTTTCATCACAGTGGTGGTCCTCAATACTTGTGACACACCCCAGCCTTAAGATATTTGTGCTGTAGCAGAATCTCTAGTTGTAGTGCACAGTAATCATACATGAAAGATATCGAGTGGGGTACCAACCAAGGTGACTCTTCTAGGCCCAGTGGCTGTTGGCTTTGAGGATGAGCAATGCTGCCCAGAATCACTGTTCATGGATGGGAGCTGTTAAAATGCAACCAAGGGAACATATAAAGATACAAAAATCATTTGTTTACCAAGAATGCGTTCCCTTATTGTGAGGAAATAGAGAATACAACCTCAGAGATCATAGCTGCAAAAGAATTTCAAGGGATTGCTATTTTTTCTGATTCTGTATGTTTCCCTGATTTATAATATGTATTTTTCTGGTCACCCAGTTATAGACCCACTCCTTATTGATTTCAGAAGAGCTGTCTGACCCTCCTCCAATTCCTGATGCATCATTCTGCAGCCTTCTCTTTTCTCTGTCATTTAATTCCTAGCCTCATCTTTCATCCCATTGAAAGCTTTCCCTTTTTCTCTGCTTATGTATGCCGAGTCTCAGATGATGTGATCTGGAGAGAACTCAGTATTTTTTAATATGGGAATTTGATTGTGTCTTGGCAATCTCATGTGAGAGGTGGAGGCAGGACTATTTTAAAAAACTATCTGTTCTCCTGGAGGTGGTCATGATGTGGTCAATCATTGGAAACTGTTATCTTTTAGTGGTTTTCAATAGTCAGACCATTACAGCTGCAAACCTTGAAAATACTCTGTTCTGTTGTTCATTTAGGTGATCATGTTTAAATAATGATGAACCTAACCATAAGATGGCTGTAGTTAATGATCTGAAATCTTTATGTGAATGGACCAAAATATACTGTATTTAAGATCTCAGTTCCATAGTCCAAGCAACAGGGGTGGGAGGTAAAAGTCAATTTATTCTGGGTTTTAATGCCCTGTGGTACTTAACAAAATCATGTATGTTAGGAATGAAGCTTAAAGCCAAGGGCCTGAGGTCTGGTAGAGAGACAATGTTGTGCATGTGGGACTGGATACCAGGAATTCCTGTTTTAATCCTGGTTCTGCCACTGTTTGTTCGGTGGAGGAGGAGAAGGCTGCGTTTTCAGTAGTGGGTGAAGTGACTGGTGTGTGCCATAGATTCAAAAGATTTTCAGAGGGAAAGTGCTGTATAAATGTAAACTATTACCAGAGTATGCTGTCTCTGTGTAATCTTCATAGCTGACTCCATTTGCTTATTTAGAGTGTGACTGCCATACTATGAACCACTAACACCTTGCAAATGACCACCATTGACTCCTGTAAGGCAGAGCGTTTTCCTACATTTGTGCCACTCCATGGTTCCTCTCTAACTTCTTGTTCTTCGCTCCATTATCACCCAATCTCTACCCCTTAGCCCAGTCCCTTGCAGTGCTTTCTTGGCTTGCCTATGGCTAATCGGTTGGGAGCACTTACACCATGACTGGCAGCATGTGTTACAAGAATCTCTTAGCTGTACAGAGAAACAAAACTAGCACAATGTATCTAATTGCTGACGAGGGGGGTGGGGCTGGGGGAGGAAACCACCTGTCTCCCAAAACATTGGCTCAGCAGTGGGTGAGGATTCAGTATAGGGCTTACGTCACATGGGTGCTGGACCTAGGTTAAGGTCCCTGTCCAGCAGCAGGAGGGTCCGGGGAGCTGAGGGGGTGGCTCACTGTCAGTCAGTCGGGGTGCCCATCCTAGAGCTGCCTTCGGCCCTGGGGAGAGGCTGTGGCGAAGGGGGCTTCCCCTGCCTCCTGCAGCTGACAGGCGCCTCCTGAGCCAAACGCTGCAGCCCTGGGGAGGCAGCGCGCGCGGCAGGGGAGGCGGCGCTGACGCGCTGCGCGAGGCAGGTCCCGGGCTGTGCGCCGCGTTCATCCAACGACTACATCGCCCGGACTGCCTCGCGGCGGCGCCCGGGTGCCGCACATGCGCAGTGGGAGGGGGCCCGGCAGATCGGCGCTGCTGACGGCGATTGAA